TTGTGGCAGTGGGGGGGGCAATTTTAAATTTCCTGCCCTTTTCCGCCGCTGTGATCGGACCCCCAGAAGGTCTCCAAGGACTTCCCCACCGCCATCGGAGACCTCCTGGGGGTCCCCCACCACTGCAATCGGCGCCTTCAGGCTTTCCGGGGGATAGACTGGGCCTGCCGGGGGACCCCCAGGAGGTCTCCGATGGCGGCAGGGAAGCCACCGTGATCGGACCCAGCAGGAGGCCTCTGGAGACCTCCTAGGGATCCGATCACAGAGGTGGGGGACCCCCAGGAGGTCTCTGATGGCAGCAGGGAAGCTCCCAGGGCTGGAGATGACTTTCTGGGCCCCACATAGAGCTGTATTGTATACTTTAAGCTGTTACTTTTTTCATACTCTTAGAGACCTTTTTAATGTCAACCTGTATCTCTGGACCAATGCTATATTCCTTTTTCACAAAACTGATTATCAATAAAAATTTATGTCAGGGGTTCTTGCTGCGTGCTGTACTAAAGGTAGTTTTGAGGAGAAAGCTGCTGCTAGGGATGGGACTTTGGAATTTTTGGATTACAACTCCCACAGTTCCCCCAGAGAGAATCCCTCAGGGAGCTGCAGCCAAAAAATAAAATAAAAAATCCACAGTGCAGATTTGATTAACTACAGTATATAGACATCCCTGTTGCCATGATTTGCCATTCTAGAAGAAGGAACTCTTCTGCGGGCTTGAGAGTGACAATACTCCATAGAAGCTGCAACCGCTAATGGGACAGATTGTTTCACTTCCTATTGCACACTCTGTAGAGGGTGCCTCTCATAGAATTACCCATCCGAAGAAGTTTGGCAGCTTCCGTGGAGCCTTGCACCAGAAGTGCGGTTTCCTTCTTCCTAGAAGAAAAATAATGGCAATAAAAGCCCACATGTAAGTAATGAAAGCTGCTTTGTGCCCTTTACTTTTTTGGCCGCAGCTCCCAGAATTCTGCTCAGGGAAATTCTGGGCAAATTCCGGGAGCTGCAGTCCAAAAAAAATCTGAGAGTCCCATCTCTAGCTGCTACTGTTTGAAAGTGGGACAGAAGGCACAGCAGGGAGCCTGTTTTCCTTACATCTTGTGTTCCTTTTCACAAACCTGGAGTCATGCTTCTTCTCTGTCATCTCTTTGTTGTCACTGTTCCTTTTGTCATGTCTCTTCTCTTTTGAGGCGGAGTGTACTCTGGTGAAACAGCTTGTGTAGAAATATTCCTACTACAGCAATGTAGATTCCTTTTATTGGTATGGACCTCCTTCAGTCTGTAGGGGAGGGGGAGTGAGTGAAGTTTTTTTTTCCCTAAACTGGCCTTGATTTGCTTTTGAAGAAATCTTAGTGTTCCTCCTATCAGTATCAATGTTATCACTTGTCAACGAACCTAGTCTATTTTATAAGCAGTGACTGTCAGTAAAATGAAGAGTGGACATTTATGGTTCACATTCCTAGGCCACACGAGCAAAGGAAATTACATAAAGATAACCCTGGTTCAAAAAGAATTTCCCACAAGACCAATATGGTAGTGAGAACATTCCCTCAAGATCTGTTTTGCCAGAGTACAGTCAGCCACAAAAGAGAATGGCAGTGACACAGCACAGCAAAGAAGGTAGTGGAAGATTTCTTGTTTGTGAAAAAAATGCACAAGAGAGGAAGAAAACTGCTTCCCTGATCATGCCTCTCACCTGCTTTCCAGCAGCAAGAAAGGCATTTTCACTGCATAGTCTGTCTTCTCTATCTGGGTCAACTGACTGGTATTATAGTACAGATACAAGTTTTAACATCATCATCATCATCATAAAGTAGAGATTACTTTTAAATTACAGTGGACCCTCGACCTATGGATTTAATCCGTATTGGAACGGTGGCCGCAGGTCGAAAAGTCCATACGTCTAGAGTCCATTTCCCATAGGAATACATTGAAAACCATGTAATCCGTAAGTCGCCCAAGAACCCTCCCCAAAATAAAGACACCTTACCTGTCCAAAGACTTCCGGGGTGCCCCACCACCACCATCGCTGCTACCCAAGGCCTCCAAGGGCTTTGCCGCTGCTGCCAGAGGCCTCTCGGAGGTCCCCCGCCGCTGCCGATCGTGCTTCGGAGGCACTATTGACGGAGGGAGGGACCTCCGAGAGGCCTTTCATGGCTACAGAGAAGGCCTGTGGAGGTCCCCCTCGACGCCAATGGAGAAGCTCTGGAGGCACGATTGGTGGCGAGGGGGACCTCCGAATGCCTTCCAGGGCTTCCCAGCGTCCATGTCGAGGGTCCACTGTAGTGTCTGTAATGGCAGCCAACTTCTTCGGGGTTTGTGGAAACTTAACTACAACTTAAATGATTTTAAAAGCAACTTTTGAAGTTCTGTAAGACAAAATATCAAGCTGTTGGCTCGTGGCAGTCAGTTTGTTCAGCAAGCACTTGTTGAACTATGCTGAGTATATAAACTAAATCATAATGTATTTTGTTTTTTGTTAGCTTGAAAAATTGCTGCTGTAGCCAGTTTTAGTCTTTTAAATAGGATTGTGGTTGAATAAAATGGTTGCTCTCCTGTGTCTCATTACCTGGGAGTAAGTGTCATTCAACTGAGGGCATGTAAATAAACACATACTAGATCAACTTTACTTTGACATAATTGTATGGGGTACCCATTAGAAAGCCTGGAATGACATTTTATACATTTTTGTTTCAATGGAAATCATTACTGTCATGGCTGGTTGACCAAGGGATTTTTAAGGGAGCATTTTATTCTGTGTTTTACATGTGTTTTTATTATTGTTCTTACTATGAGATTTTAATGTGGTAATTGTTTAATTTTTAAAATATTGTAATAATTTATTAATTGGCTTTTAACTTTGTTTCTTTTAAATACTCTAAGCCACCTTAGATCCTTCAGGAGAAAGATGGCATATAAATTGATTGATTCATTCATTGATTGATTGAAAGGCTTATCATTCTTAAAATATGTACTGTTTTGAACATCTGTGTTTGTTGTTGTTTCTTAAACGAATCAGAGTTGTTCAATCTCTCCCCATCTTCTTACTAGAGCTTCCAGAATCTCTTAATCAGCATTGATTGCTACAAGGAGATTCTGGGACATGAAATTTAAGAGTAACATTCTAAAGATTTGCATGTTCTCCAGCTCTTATTCAGGAATGGTAGCAGCTTTGCTTTAATGCTCAGTCACTTGGTGTTGTAGGTAAGAAGCAGGCAGAAGTCCTCTTCACTCCGAGGTACTAGTGTGCATGAAATGCTATCTTTAAAAAGAGAAGCTTCTGTTCATTCTTAAAATTTTGATGTTAATAATATAGACACAGTATTCAAGATTTCAGAAAAGCATTGAGAAGTATTTGAATTATTCAGAATTAGTCAAGGAAGGGAGACTGTAAGAATCCTGTTGACATCCCATTCTTGTATTGTACTTTTGTCTCAACAGCTTGGGCCCTGTATTTTCTCTTTTTGTACCATTTTATTGCTCCATTCCAAGAGTGCAAGTGACACAAATTCTAGGCCAGTTTTCCATCACAAACAAGACACTGGTCTATATATTGGGTTTGCAGGTACAGTATGTATTGATTTGTTTGCTTTTTATTTAAATGAGCAGTGCATTACCTTCCATCTGAGCACACTGTTTTCTTGAACATCTCAGTGTTATGTCCTTCGTTTCTATATATTTAGTCCTAAAACATAATGTAGATGTTTAATGTGGAAACTTTTCAGTAAGTGTTGCAATATGAATTTCTTACAGGGACTAATTTGGCAAATTTATACTTTATGTGCAGGTATATGTGCTCATTGTCAGCTGTGGAAGACAAAACTTAATAAGTGCTCATGGATTGTCCCCTTTCCATCACAGACTAGAAGGAAACTTTGTTTTGTTTTGTTTCGCCTTCATTATTTTATTCAAAAACATTTTATTTATTTTGATGGGATGGTTGTCAATGACTTGTTTCTACCAAGTACTCAAGGGTATCTTATGGGAAACTTTAAAAGCTTGTTCCTATTAAATACTCAGGTATCTTATGTGGGAAACTTAGAGATGGAATCCTTTTAAAAATAATATTTTTATTAAATTTATTTTTGTTTACATACAAGAAAAAACAAGAACACAAACAAAACAAAGCAGTAGTGCACCCCTCGCTTTCAGGACCATCCGTTAATGCTCTCTCTCTATATGCATAATACATTCAACATTCAATTCAACATTCAATTCATCTTTTAAACAAACCCTCATCCCTTCCAGAAATACATATATTCTTGCCTGACTTTTTGCTCTTTATTCAATATGGCATTTATAAAGTCATCCCATAGAGATAGAAGTCTTGAGTTGCCAGGGGTGACGAGACCTCCTATAAGTAATAGGATTCTAACTCTGTCTTTTGAATGATAACTTGGTACACTTCAGATTTTAGTTAAGGATACTAACTAGAAGTACTGGGTCCATCTTTTAAGACTTGATCACTGTGTTATCACCCAAAACCCCTGGCTCTGTCAGAGCTGTTATGTTTTCTTTGTGTCCTCAAGACAATAAAGTATGCTGTTTGGTTAATTGGTTTCATCTTACAATAAAAGTGATAACTGCTCACATTCAGGCTAGATCAGTATCTTAGCTTCAGTTTCTCTTGGTTTACTTTCCCTTCTTATCACAAGTAAGTACGAATGCCGTTAGAACGTTCATCACAGAGGTCTATGTCTATGATCAACAAAGATCATCATGCTAGATTATGTGACTTTGACATTCTTCTTGCACTAAAAAAAACACAACAGTCCAGCATGTGATATGCATTCAATTTGTTTTCCAGTTTGCAACAATACTTGAACAGTTTAAAATGTTGCTGACGTTGAAAATGCTGCACATAAAGGTCTAACACAATAAAATAGTTGCATTTATTGTACCATTTTTATATTGTTCTTCCTTTTGCATGTTTTTAAGCCTAAAAGAGCAAACTGCCAAAGGAGATTATCCATTTTTTGCTTATCTGGCCAATATTCATTTGAGGTTGAGTTTTGGTGGGGGAAATACGTTGGTGTAAAAATCTTATCCAAGCCTGCTTGTCTTGAAACTATCAACTTTTTCCCTATTTAATACTATTCTCTTTCCCCTGATTTCTCTGCAGCTTCTATTTTTCTTCTTTTCTCTCTGTTAATCATATTTTGTCTCCAGTTTTTAAACAATAGAGAAATTGACAATATCCTTTTAAACAGGTTGTATTAAATTAGTTTCTAAGTAGACTGTAATTATCAATTACTGTATTTCTTGTCACCTGCTTTATTTGGAAGATTGCCCTTGGTGTTCTTTTTCATGGACAGGTAACTAATGAAAAAAGTTATTTGTTGATTCTTGCTTGTAGGAAAAGTCTGCTTTCATTCATAAGTTTTGGAGAAAAAAGACTGTGTTGGATCGAATCTCTTCTAAAAATTGTTCCTTGTTTTTTAAATCATACTCATCCCACTTTGTTTCCATATCCAGTTAAACTTAACCTCACCCTCATCACTGCAGTACCGTATGATGAAAACATTTTTGTTTAATTGGTTAGTCTTTTTCTTAGTTCTCAAGAGTTCTAGATTTGTTGTTTGTTCTGTGGCCCTCTGTTTGAATTAATTTCTGTACTCATATAGTTATGTTCTTGATGCTATATAAATTTATTTCTTGTATAAGATAGCAATAGTCCATTATAGGACTGCAATTAAAGTTACATTTTAAATTGCACATTTTTGTCTTGTAGCTTTTAACTTCTGGGTCATACATCTGGATTGTAGCTTTAAGTGGGGTGGTAAGTATAATTACATTATTAATGCTGATTCTTGTTAAATTTCAAGGCCCCTATATGCCTTTCTTTCTTTCTTTTTTAAAAACGTTGCTCATATAGATTTTTTGTTTTAATAGTTACAGCTTTTGTCAATTAGAGTCCATATGTGTCCACTTGAATCTGATAACCACAAAGCAATTAGTATTCACACTTCAATACATGAGCCTTTTCTGAGAACACTCCACTCTTTCTATTTCCCACCCTTCACAAAGTGACTGTGACATTGCATCTCTAACTAACTTAAATGTAGCATGCAAACAGATTATTCTGATTTGAATAAACGTTAGGTGAATTAACTGAGTTTGTTCTCTTATAGTAAATATGCTTTGTTTTTTCATTTCTCAAGGACACATGTTTCTTGAAGTTTTGGTTTGGATTAATTAGACGGGGGGGGGGAAGCACTTTTACAAAAATGCTCGCAACAACTCCCTGATACGTAATTTACTATTCAGAAAGTATTATCACTAATCCTGATTCCAATAGCAGGTTATCATTTATGTCCTTCCCAAGATAAGTTGATGAATGAGTAGTGGTTGTATTGAAACTACTTGGCTAAAATTTGCTGTACAGTATTCTCCATTTCACTCCAGTGCTGCAGAGCCCTTCTGACTACTAGGCCTCTGGTGGTGATATTTGGGTGTAACACAAACCATTGCTAGTTAACTTAAAACTGAATTATTTGCACTTCTAAACCTAGCCAGATTCACTGATCTTGGCTGATCTGGGTCTGGTCAACCAGGATCTGAAATTGTTTGACATTGATTTGTGGATTTCAAACTTGCACTAATGACAGTGTGTAGTTGTGTATGAATCTGGTCTAATCTTAAGTTTGTTGTGTCGCTTCACTTTCATTGACTGGCTATGTGAGTGAATGAAGAATAGCTCAGAAATTAATATGGTTACATGGTTAATAGGCTGGCGCTGGTGCTTAGATTTGGTTACTGCAACTCACATTAAAATACAGTGGTGCCTCGCGTAGCGATTGCCTTGTTTAACAGTGTATTCGCTTAGCGATGAGGTTTTTGGAGCGATCTTGCGCTCCATTTAGCGATGTTTCCTATGGGGAAATTTCACATAGCGATGTTCGGGACCTTGCTTCACTTAGCGACGACAGGTTAGGTCCCCCTGTTTCGCTTAGTGATGTCCGTTTTCGCTATTTTAAGTATGTCTTAAAATGTTCAAAAACTGTTTAAAATGCTTGGAATCGTTAGTGCACCTTGTAAAACCTTTGCAAACTTAATTTGGCTTTGTTCTGAACGCTAATTTTTGGTGAATTCCCCCCCCATTGGAATGCATTGAACTGTAGGTTTGACAGCTGTCAAACCTACAGCTCAATAGCGAAAACAGACCTGTCAAAACCATTGAAATGCATTGAAACCTATTCAATGCATTCCAATGGAGGAACCGCATTTCACTTAGCAATGTTTCCTGTGGCAATTTTCGCTTAAGGACGGTAATCCATTCCCATTGGAACGGATTATCTGGTATTCAATGCATTCCTATGGGAAATGGTGTTTTGCTTAGCGATGTTTTCCCATAGCAATGTTTTTTTGGGAACCAATTAACATCGTTAAGTGAGGCACCACTGTATTTAAGGTGCCACACTATTTTTGTTTCATTTCTGGTGTGATATGCTTGCACGGACTAACATGGCTATTACTTCAGAAATTATAAGTATACAGTGGACCCTTGACTTACAGATGGCTTGACTTACAGACTTTTTGAGTTACAGACTTCTCTGGCCGCAAAATTTAGGTTTGACTTGCAGACTGAGATTTGACTTACAGACCAGAAAAAAACCAAAATGGAACAAAAACGGCCTGTTACGGGATTTATCGGTTTTCAATGCACTGTAGGTCAATGGAGACTTGACTTACAGACTTTTTGACTTGAGAACCGCCTTCCAATACAGATTAAGTTCTCAAGTCAAGACCCCACTGTACTTGTTTCATTCCCTGTAAGCTGGGGCTGATCCTGTGAATGAACCTAGAAAGAACAATTTCACTTTCATAGAAGTGTTACGAATAGAGGAGTCCATTAAAACAGCAGGCTCTTGTTTGTATTGATGCCTAACACCTCGAGCCACGAAAGCTTCTGATCAGTGGAGTCAAACGCAGTTTTCAGACTTTCAAACATAGTATATAGTTGTCCTTTCCTATACAGTATTGTGTATATATTTGTATACTAGACCATTCAACACAAAGCAGTTTTGGAAAGTGGAATATCCACTTCTAAATCCTGCTTCTGTAAAAATGTCATTACCAAGTGCCCAGTTCTCAGGTTTAACCAGTAAAAATAGAATATATATGTGAGCTGTAGTAGTGATTAGACTGCTTATTCTATAATTTGATGGAGAAGAGCTGTGGCTTTTTTGTATAATGGAATGATTATATTGGTTCCAACCAGGTTCAATGATTCCAATAAATTGTTGTAGTCAAAAAGTACCAAGTACTGGAGCCCATCAGTTCAGGTTTTCCTTAAAATATTTCTCACAAATACTTCTTCATGGAGTCTTACCTTTGAGTACCATTGTTATTAAAGCAACTGCTTTAATAACAATTTCAGCTTCAACAGCCGGCAGCTACATATCTGAGATGTGTTATCTCAAGACAAAACTCTTTGTGAGGGACTGGGTGTTTTATAGATGATGCAAAAATAGTATAACCACTCAAATCTGTAGGACATTTGGAGCTATAATAATTACCTCAATAGGTATGCCAAAGCAAACAATTTGCCAAAATTTTGGCTGGTGTTTCATTCTCATTGCCTGACATGAGTCCGTCCAAAGTTTATTTTGAAAATTAGCTTTTTTTCCCCTCTTCTGGAGTAGTATTCCTTTTTAGTTTAAAAAGCAAAGTGTGCTGCTTATATATAGCCCCATGACACTTAAAGCACTCTCTGGATGGTTTACTATTTTGTTATACAAGCTACACATTGCTTCTTCACCCTCACTCCCACCACACGCTGTAAGCTGGGTACTCAGTTTATCTACCTTAGAAGGATGGAATGTTGAGTCAACCTTGAGTCTGTGTCACTTCTATTACTACTAGTGTAATCATGGACTGTACACAACTTGTCCACAGAAAACATGTCCATTCCACTTATGTTACCATCCTGCACACTGTAATCAAGAACAAATATAGATACAGTACTCATCACCTGGGAAGTAGTGCTGCATCTCAGAATTTTATTATCTGTCTCCAGAAGGTGCAAAATTCCCTATTGTGAATGCACCAACAAAATAAATGTGAATCAGCATTTATGACAGCAAAGCTATGTGCCTTATTTTGAGATTAAGTTGCTCTGAATCCATTAGGGCTTACTTTTGAGTAAACATACATATAACTTCATAGCAAAAATCTGGAAAGGCACTGTGATTCTAAAATACAGCTATGTAGATTGATGGGAATATTTTCTACACCCATTCATATTTTTCCAGGTCACAAGGCAGAAGTCTTAACATTTTTCTGCCAGTGAATAATTGATCATATGATTTGTATTCTATCATACTCTAAAGGGAAAAATAGGCATTTCCAGTTTATTTTGTACAACAATTAATATAGTCAGTTGCTTCCTTTTAAAAAATGATTACACTAACAGAGGTAAGAAACTATAATTCTGGGAATGTGGTCTTTGTAATTAGCTTTGAAGACATCTGGCTTGTTGTTGTGCAAACCAGGAGGTAGCTCCATTGAAAGCAATAGGGCTTACACTTCCACAAAAGGTACGGTACTTGACATCTCCATGTACAAACTCTGAAAAAGTGCAGTCACTCATGCATGCAGTGAAGGACAACAGGATCATAGTCTAGTACAGTGGTGCCTCGCTTAGCAATTGCTTCGTTTAACGACGTATTTGCTTTGTGATGGTTTTCTTTGAGGAATTTTCAGCATCGTTTAACGATGTTCTGTATGGGGGAATTTCACTTAACGATGTCCGTGTTTGCTCATTTTTAAGTGTCTTACAATGTTTGGAACATGTTTTAAATGCTTTTAATAGTTAGTCCACCTTGTGAAACCTATGCACACTTATTTTGGCTTTCTTCTGAGTCTTCGTTAATTTTTGGTGATTTTTTGTTTTTTCCCTCATTGAAATCCATTGGACGGACAGTTCAATGGGTTTAAATGGGGAAAACAAAAAATCACCAAAAATTAACGAAGACTCAGAAGAAAGCCAAACTAAGTGTGCATAGGCTTCACAAGGTGAACTAACTATTCCAAGCATTTAAAACATGTTCCAAACATTGTAAGACACTTAAAAATGAGCAAACACAGACGTCGGAAAGGGTTTCGAAAGCACTGCAGCCGGCTTCAGTGCTTTTGAATGGCTTTCCATTGGGGAAATATTGTTTCACTTAGCGATGTTTCCTATGGGGATTTTCGCTTAAGGACGTTAATCTGTTCCAATTGGAACGGATTAACCGGTTTTCAATGCATTCCTATGGGAAACGGTGTTTCACTTAACGATGTTTCCCATAGCGATGGGTTTTTTGGAACCAATTAACATCGTTAAGCGAGGCACCACTGTATTTATAATTTGTCCTTTAAATCAGAAGTCCTCAATCCCCAGTCCACGACCCAGCAGCGATCCACAGCTAAGCAGGACCAGGCCATGGACACAGATCTCCTGCCCCCCTGCGAGCATGCCGTGTGCATGCACACGAGTACCTCCCGTGAGCACCACCGTGCAAGTGGCCATGCTCCGCCCCCCTGCAGGTGTGCCATACACCCCTAACCAGTGCGCAGTTGTGAAAAGTTTGAGGACCACTGCTTGAAATTATAAGTTCCTAGGCACCTAATATAATCTAGTATACAGTCTCATCGAAGCGACCAACAAGAATTTAACCCAACTCCGGGAGGCAGTGGAAGACAGGAGGGCCTGGCGTGCTGTGGTCCATGGAGTCACAAAGAGTCGGACACAACTAAACCACTAAACAACAACAATACAGTAGTTAACAACACAGA